TATAAAGAGTAATGGAGTCCTCATACCTACAGGAACATAGATGAATCTCAAATGTGACATGCTGAATGAGAGAAGCCAGATTCCAAAAAGCTGTCCACTTTCTGCAGGATTCCAAAACTGTACTGCACAACTAAACAGATGGAAACTTTGCCATTCTGAAGCCAGAATCTGAAATCAAGATCCTTCCTTCCCTGCGAGGCTCTTGAAGAGAATCTCTCCCTGTCTCTTCCCTCTGGCTTGTGGTCACACTGCTCCTCCCTTCTTTGAGGACTCTTGGTGTGACAGTTTGGGGTCCACCTAGATAATCCTTATCCCAAGAACCTAACAAGTAAAGATCCCTTTTATATAAGGTCACATTTATAAACTTCAGGGAATCAAACTCAGTGTCTTTGAATGGCTGTGATTCAACTCACTATTCCAGGGCTAAAGGTTAGAATGCTGGCTACATTCCTGGGGCATAAGGAAACATTTTGGTTGATGGGCATGGTCTATAGTCATACCTGGGTACTCAGATGCTATGAAACTCATCGAATTCGGTACCCAAATTTTGTTCCCGAACTCATTTGTTTGGTACTCAGTGCTCCAGCTACAACTTGTCGGGGCATTGACTGCCTCATGGTTCAATACCTTTTCCATCCAGAACAATTTGGTACTCATTCTCCTTTTGGTACTTGTCATGCCTCCTGGAAAGGATGGCAGTACCACTGTACAGTAATTGTGGTGATGGTCACATAATTGGTGCACCCATCAGAACCCACAGAATGGCACATGTCCCCCAGCTGCCCCAGGTGTGAGCAGCAGAGCCGGAAATGTGTGAGGCAGACTGGCACCAGACTCACTTTCAATGCGATCGATGCACTATTTGTTATTGAGGTGGGAGAGGATAAGGTGTGGGGGTGGGTGACTCCGGATCCCACTGCTAATAATTAAGCAAAAAGTCTGACAATGATGGGAGGTGATGAGCTGTCCCATGGCGGCAAGACGTCATGACTGAAGCTCTTCCGCTCTCTGAATTCCTGCTGCAGGATTCCAGGAGGTGAAGCCCCTGCCCACTGTGAACCCAGAGGGCAGGGTCTGGGATGCTTGGCCCAGTGGGGGAGGGGGAAGAGGGTGGAGTGGATGAAAATAATAGCAGGGAAGGCCATTCTTCTGACCCCTCTCCCGCAGAGCACTCATGCCCTGTCCCCAGGGAGGAGGCCTCTGTCCTCTCCATTCACTGGCCCCAGCTGATGCCACACTCCCCCACCAGGGGCCTCCCCCCTCCTGTCATTGTCTGAGGGCTCAGATGGAAGGACGGCCCATTAACCCCTTCCTGGCCTCACTGCTGCACTGTGCAGCTGTCACCACGGCCTCAGGCCCGAGCCGGAGAGGACCCAATAGTTAATCACAATTAGAGAACGGCATGTCAGCTGCGAGGCTGGCCTTGCCCATCGGCTGCCAGCCGGCCCAGGCCAAGGGACGGCCCTCAGCAGCCATGCAGCGGGTTGGGAGACAACGACAGAAGCCTTCCTGATTCTTTCCTGGGGACTGCCTTGAAGACTCAGCCAAGTGGCCTCCATCCCAGAGCGGTCACATCCAGTGCTTTCCAAACCCACCAAGAGCCTTGGCCCCCAGTATCCCTGTCTGATGCTCACATGGCCAAGTCAGGGCCACCTCCTCCAAGAGGCCTTCCCTGACTGCCTGGCTGAGGTGGCATTGCTCCCAATCATTCTCCATCACCTGCCCTGTGACTTAGCATCTTGTTTTGTTTTCCCAAGGCATTCAACATTTCCTAGGATCATTTTAGATTTTACCTGGTTTAGTGTGAGTGTTTGTTTCCTAGGATTACAACAACAAGTTACCGCAAACTAGGTGGCAACCGAAATGTAGGCTTCCCAGTGCCACGGGCCAGAAGTCTGGGACCTAGATGTCTCCACAGCAGCGCTGAGGGAGGACACTTCCTGGCCCCTTCCTGGGCTGCTCTGGCTGCAGGCCACCTCAGTCAAGCTCCTTGGTCTGCAGACCCATCCCTGTTGTCCCAGTGTCTCTCCAAATGTCCGTGTGCAGACGTCCTTCTCTTACAAGGACACCAGTCATTGCACTGGGGCCCTCTACACTTTCATGTGACCTCGTCATCACTCTGACTTCTGCCTGACCCTGTTTCCAAATAAGTCCACCGGTGCAGGTGCAGGATTAGGAGAGGAGCAGATCTTTTGTGAGGACATGTTTAATCCCCCAGCTGTGTGATTCTCTGTCTGTTCTAAGAGAGCAAGTCCTGCTTGGTTCCTTTCATGAGTTGTATTCTCTTTGCAGCCACCATTTAATTTAAAATAATACATTTTCTAAAGGGTTCTGCCCCAGCCAGAGCTGGATCCAGGAAGAGAGGACTGGGGTGCTTGAAGGGAGGAGAAAGCTGGAGACTGGAGAGGGCAAATCTGGAAGCAGGGTCCCCCTAAAGATGGCTCCCATCCATCTCCAGGGCTCTGGGGTCCTCCAGGACCCTGCAGCTCACTGCAGGTGCCAGGAAGCATGTTGATCTGACAGATAAGGGAGAGTGTCCCCCAAGTTCAGAGGGATTAACTCTGTGGGAGACTGGTGAGAGCTCCCCAGGTAGTGAGCATTGAGGGGAGACACCGAGAGGGCAAGTGCATCTGTGGGTGAGTGCTGAGCATCCTCAGGAAGGTGCCAAGTGTCTTCCACAAAGAGCCTTTAGGGGACTTTTTTTAAAGCAGGGACATGTCAAATATGTATCTAACCGATCTTTGCATTTTCAACTAGTTTTCCATTGAGCAGTACATTCACTTTGCTGAAGATTCAGGATACGGCAAAAGTTTTCCTCTTCCTATCCAAAGCTCCCCTCCTGCAGGAACTCACTGTTCCTGGTCTCTTTTAGATAGAATCAATAGATGCAAACACATGTCCTTCGTGTCTTTCCTTGATAAGCATACAGTAGGAGCACATAATGCATGTGCTGTTGCTGTTCTGTGTCTCCTCCTTTTTAGGGGGTTCAGTATTGGAACTCTGGGAGCACTAAACTACATACTCAGCCTTTTCATTTCATTTTGTGACAAATCTCACTAAATTGTCCAGGCTGGCCTCAAACTTCCAATCCTCCTGCCTCAGCTTCCCAAATAGATGAAATTACAGGTGTGTACCACTGTGCCTAGCATTACATCTTGCTTTTAAAACCATCAAAGTGTCATTATATACAGTGAAATGTACCTGTGTAACCAACACCCTAATCACAATTCAGAATATATCCAGTGCCCCAAGAAATCCTTTCATGCTCCTTCCTGACCCCCTACCCCAGAGGCAGCCACTGCTCTGCTTCCTATGGTCAATGATTTGTTTCGCCTGCTAGAATTTCATATGAATGGCATCGCCATAGCATGTTATCTTAGTGCCCAGCTTGCTTTCACTCCACATGTTTGTGATTCACCCACACTGTCATGTGTGCCTCTTCACTGATCTGTACTGCAGCACATGCTTTGAATGCATGGATACATGATTCCTTGATCTCTGGCCAGTGCTTCTGGGCTGTGTCAGGTATTGTCTATTATATATTCAACTGTTTTGAACATGTTTGCACAAGTCCTGTGGGGATGTATATTTTTATTTCATTTGTACAAAAGCCTAACAGCAAAGATACTGGGCCACTGGGAACCATGTGTTTATAAGAAATGGCAAGATTATTTTCCAAAGATTAAGACCTTCCATGCCATTTCAGCTCCATGCACCTGCATGTGCTCCACCCTGTGATATCCTGGAGTTTGTCTAACTTGTCCCCCATCAAAAGACATTTAGATTGTTTCATCTTCAGCTGTCACAATGTTGTAGTGAATAATTCTGCAGATATGTCACATATCACCTGGGCAAAACACCCCAGGACACACTCCTAGAAGTGGGACCTCTGAATGTGCCAGAGACTGATAGTTTCCCCCAATAATCTGGCTGTGCTTCTTCCTTTGAAATACACTCTCATTTTTCATCAGGGTACATGGTACCTGGAACAGAAACCATCTTTTCTTGCCTCTACTGTAGCTTTTGTGCCCATGTAATCAAGATCTAGCCAATGAACTAGAAATCAAGGATCGTAACATCCAGAGTCTTTAAGGGGAACTTTCTCCCTTCTTGGTTCCTTTCTAATGACTGGAATGCTTTCCATCTTGGGATATAGATGTGACGCCTGGTGTTTGAACAGCCATTTGGGGCCCAAAAATAGAAGCCATGTACTGAGAATGGTAGAGTAATGATGAGAACCTAGATCCCTGGACTGCAGAGCACCGTGTCAGCCTTTGACTGCCCACTTCTGGACTTCATTTATGTGTGAGAGACAAATCCCTCTAATTTGCACATGCCACCATTACCTGATCTGACAGGTGTCCCACCCTCACCATAGGCTCAGCCCACAGTCCAGTGGCCTTGTGCCCGTGTGCTTGCTTCAGCAGCACATATACTAGTGGCCTTGTGCCCTGCTCACCTTTCCCCCCTTTGCAGCAAGATGCACCAGGGTACACCTTGCTTTTACTGTAGCCCCTTTGCACCTACTGAGCCCTCCTCCCCCTCATCTGTTCTTATCTCCCACTGCCTCCTCCTAGGAGGCCCCTGTGAGTCCCTCCTCTCCCAGGGCCCCTCATTGCTGGCCTCACGGAGTTCACTGACCCACACTGAAATTGTCAGTCTGTGAGTTTGGGGTGCTTGGGTGGAAACCAAGGGAAGCCTAAGTCCTGATGGCGCTGTTCAAACTGGTCCATTGCCAGGACCTCAGGCCTGCACCTCAGCTTCTGTCGCACTCTGTACAACAGTCCTGTGGACTGCTGGGTGAACGAATGAGTGAACGAATGAGTGAACGAATGAATGAGGGGCCCACCAGGGGGCGGTAGCGTTTTGCCACCCAGGCGGGGTAGGCGAGGAGCTGGGCGGCTCCTCCTCTCCCCCCCAGGGCTCCGCCCCTCCCCGGGCAGATAATTAACTCCACCAATAAAACGCTGATTGCAGCGCCTTTGTACTCCCCGCCTCACCCATTGTCATGGAAAACGGGGTCCCCTCCCAAGCCCCCGCAGCTGGCCGGGAGTTCCCGAGCCACCTGGACTGGACCGGGGGACCCCGAGCCTGCGGACGCCCAGTCCATCTGCTCCGCACCGCCACCCCACTGTCAGGGGGGGGGGGGGGGGGGAACCTGGCTGCACCAGGCACTCGGCCAGCGCTACAGGGGCCCGCGCGGTGGGGTCGAGGCCGAGGTGTGACCTGAACCGATAGGGCCCTATCAGTGATGAGCAGCCCGAGAACATAGAAGAAACCTGTGGTGAGGGCCCCCACCCCTGATCCCGTTTAACCTTCCAGAAATAGTCTTGAAATAGAAAAATGGTATTGTTAAGAGCCTGCAAATAAAGCAAGTGAGTTGGATGTAACCAATTTAAACTGTAGGGGTTTTTTTTGGGGGGGGGGGGTTCTATTTGTTTAGTTTTTGTTTTTTAATAAGATTGTTTCCAAACCCCTGAGTGGTGGAGCTGCCTGTAACCCCAGCACTCTGGGAGGCTGAAGCAGGAGGATTGTGAGTTCAAGCCCAGCCTGGGAAATTTAGGGAAACCCTGTCTCAAATTTTTAAAAAATTTTAAAAAGGGCTGAGGATCAATCAAAAGCCCTGGGATCAATCCTCAGTACTGCAAAACAAAAACAAAACAATAAGTACAAGATTGTTCCCCCTAAATTCCCAACCTTCTCGTGTCTGTCAGTTTGGGGGCCATTTCTCCAGGGAGCTGGCTCACAATTACCCCCAGAAAGGAACCTGCCTGCCCACACATGTGCTAGCTTGTGTGGAACCCATGGGTCACTTCATTTGCCTCTTCAAGAAATATGGCAGAGGTCGTGCCACAGCTTGGTTATTGACAAAACCAGCTGGGCAATCCCCCTCTGTTGGCTGCTATCTGGTCTGTGTGCCTGCCCTCCCCCCTTCATCTGTGGGTACAGCCTCTGGCCACAAGTCCCTGGGTAAATGGGGTGGTTATGATCTGGGGGGGGGGGGTACTTGGGCTTTGGGGACCCAATGCGGTGCAGGAGCTGGCTTTCATCAGAGGGAAGTATAATAATGACAACAGCAACTACCAAAAAGAAAAAAGATGAAAGCAAGTCTTGTGCCCTATCAATCTCAGGCCCAGGACCTGTGTGAATGAGCCTGGCTGGGTCCCCTGATTCTCCTCTGCTAACTTATAGAAGATGCCCATGGGACAACTGATTTTGGTCCTGTAAAAACAACAGCGCCTCTATGGTTTTGGGGCTGGAAGACATTCACCAGTGTTGTCCTTAACTGCACCATCCCACCCTCCTCTGCCTGGCTCTGCCATCCTGCCACTTCCCTTTCGTGAGATAAACAAGACTGTGACCCATGCTCACTACATCATCATGTGACATCATGTTTTCAACTTCCTGAAGATAATACCCTGACCCTGTCACCAGCTGTTAAACTTCAAGAAAGACTTTACTAAGCCCCTCTTGAGACTGGCAGGACGTGGCTGAGGAATGTGAGAAGTGCCCATTGCCCTCACCTCTCAGGTACAAGCTGTGCCTGCGAGGACTGGGCTCTGAGCCGCAAGCACATCACCCTCCCCTCCCTGGTCTATACTTTTCTAACCTGTCAAATGGGAACAGTAAGTGCAATGGGACTTGCATGAATTGCACATATATGAATTTCAGAACAAGCAAAATTCACACTGATGAAAATCAGAATCGTTTCTCCCTGAGTGTCTGAAATGTTCCAGGTCTTGATCCGCATGGTTGTCACACAAGGACACACTAAGAGAAAACTCACTGAATGGCACACTTGAGAAAGTGTGTCTTCCAGGTACTTTATTGTGTGTGGTGTAAACCTTCATTAAAAAGGGAGAGGAGGGAGAGAAGTTCGAGCACAGTGATCCTTGCCAAGCCTGGCATCCAGGACAAGGTGAGGAAGCTGACCCAGGTGTCTCTGCAGAGGGTGGACAGGGGGCACTAGATCCAACCTGGACAGCAATAGCAGAAGGGCTGGTGTCAAGCTTGTCTTCCTTTCTCTACTCTGTCCCCAGCCAACTCCCAACTGGACATTCCCTCAGTGCTAGAGGACAGGTAAGGTAGCGCCATCCAACAGAGCAGAAAGTAAAACTCTGAAGTCACCCCCATGGCTGTGTGACCTTGGCTGTGTCGCCTACCTTCTCTGGGCCTCAGGCTTCTCACCCAGAAAATGAGGCCAGTACTCTCAGATCACTGTGACACCAGCTGAGTTGTCACTTCCTTCCTTCACTCATACAATTGCCTACACTCTGCCGGGGCTCAGTTTGCTGTCTCAACAGTGAGGTGACACAACCTCGGCTCCACAGGGTGGCTATGAGGATGAGAGGAGTCTTTGCTTGGAGCGAGGACTCTGAGGACCTGGCTAATGGCTCCACTCACTCCCTTCCCTCCGCTGAAGACCTGCTGTGCACTGGCGAAGTGCTGGGCCCCAGGGGGCCCATGGGACTGGCAGTCCAGCCAGGGCCTGAGAGTGCCCTTCATTCGGTCAAGTGGAGGGATGGCAGGGGATCTCCAGAGCCAGTGGCATGGATCTATCAAATGAGGCACCGAGAAAGGCTGTCACCGGGGACACCAAGGCAGCCCTGTACACTCTTCAGCATGGATGGGCAGGGACAGCGCTCCTGCCACCTGGCTCTGCAACTGTTCCCGGGCAGCCTGGCTGTGCCTAAGAGAATGGGGCAGCAGGGCAGGGCCAGTGGGCACAAGACGCCTGCCAGACAGAGGCAGCCCAAGACTTGGAGAGAAAGCGGGGGGCAGACTGCAGACAGTGAGGAGAGGAAAGAGAGCCAGGGAAGAGCATTAACAATGAGTTCGGGATGCTCCCGAGGCACCCAAAGGCTCCAGGCCCTCACCAGCCAGGAGGGATGCCGTCAGGATCCCCTTACAGCTCAGGAAACCAGAGCACAGAAAAAGGCAGTAACTTGACCCAGGTCACACAACCAGTGAGTGGCAGACCTGGTCTTGGGACCCGGGCAGGCTGCCCCCAGAGACCATGGTTCTAATCATTACAAGGACAGAGAGGAGGAGGGAAAGGAGGGGCAAGGGAGAAGAAAGACTAGACAAGAAAAAGTGGCAGGAAAGAGGAAGGGGAGACAAAAGAGAAGGAAGATGAAGAAGGAAAAATAAAATAAGAAAAAGGTGGGTGAAGAGAAGGAAGTAGAGGAGGTGGGGGAGGAAGGAGGTGGAGTGGAGTGCTAAGGAGGGGGAAGCAGTAACATGAAGGGGGCAGGAGACCTCCTGGGGCAGGGTGGGGCTGCCATTGCTCCTACCCTCCACTTCCCACTACAAGGAGCTACTTCCTGAGACACAGGTTTAGGACAGCCACACCACCACACCAGGAGAGGTTGCCTTCTGTGAGACAGGCTGGTGGCTCTGCCAAGGCTCAGAGCCAAGGAGGGGAGGTCGAGGAGGAAGATGGAAGGCAACTGTTTGAGGGCTTCAGAAGCTGGGGCCAGAATGAGAGTCAGCTCCCCAGGCCTGGTGGCTACTGAGTTCTGGGTGCAGGGCTGGCCTGGAAGCTTCATTTTCAGCCTTACACTCCTCAGACCCTGGCCTCCTGGAGGCAGAGGCCATAGCCAAGACTCAGCACCAGCAGCCGGCAGGGCCTGGCCAGAGAAGTCGCCCGTACACATGCAAGCTGGCTCTCTTGTCCTGTTCCTTTGAAAGCTAAATCTCTCCATTTGTCAGCCACAGCCTGCACACTGCTGGCCTCCTCTGTGGGGCCCAGCCTGCCAAGGGCATAGAGAAGAGAAAGAGAAAGAGTCAAGGCCATGCACACACAGCCCTGCCAGGCCAGAGACCCAGCAGCAGCCAACACTGTTCCACTGCCTGCAGAAGCAAGTGTCTTCTGCAGTGTGGCAACTGGGACTCTGTTCCCTCCTCAGTCAGGTGTTATGGCCATGGTGGGCAGAGGGCTGTGGGCACTGGGACCTAGGGGTTTAAGGTTCTACTTTGGATGGTCTTGGGGTCCCTTTGAAATTACACCCCAATTTCTGTGTACTTGAACTTTTCCAAAGGAGGGCTTTGGTTTTCAACAGACTCATCAGATGGTAGCAGAAGAGGCCACAAAGGGCCCAGAGAAGACTCCATGATTTGATGCTACAGAGCAAGCCACCCCCACTCAGTGACTCACAACAGCCAGCATTACTGAACAGGTGCCCTCGTTTCTATGGGTCAAGAACTCAGTATGGGCCTGGCGGGTCACTCTGGGCTATGCTCAGCTGAATGCTGGTCTGGGCTGAGGATCCATTGTAAGGTGGCTTGTTCATAGGATGAGCAATGGGCACTGGCTGCCCGTGGGACCTCAGCTCCTCTCTGTGTGCCACTGCACAGGTACCTGGGTGGCTCCACTACACAGCAACTGGCTTCTCCAGAGCTGTCAAACCTGGAGATAAAGGCAGAAGCGGCAATATATTGTATGACCCAGCTTTGGAAGTCCCACTGGGTCTTTCCCAGAAAATCCTCCCGGTTCCCCAGTCTTGCTTTATAGAACCTGACAAAGATGTGAACACGGAGGGGAGAGAAGCACTGGAGCTTCCTTGGGTGCTGGTGGCCAGAGGAGTTCAGAGTCCTGCAGATCCAAGGTCCCCTGCAGAGTGAAGCCCTGCCCTGAACAGAGGTGAAGCCACAGGCCAGGCCCAAAACTGCCCCCACACCCCCAGGCACTCCTCCACTTCACCTCTTCCCAGCCACACTGTCCCCACACTGTCAGTGTTCCAGTCTTGCTGATTTTCTGTCCATTTCCTGAAGGCAGTGTGAGTTCTCCTCCTCAGTCTTCTCTCATCCTTGAATGTCCTCCTCACCTCCTCTGCTCAAAGCCTCCCTCCCGCAGGAGGTGCCCCGAGTGCACATACCCAGGTGTCATCACCCCTGCAGTGCCCTGCACCCTCACCAGAGCACTGCTCTGGGCCCACTTAACAAAGCATAAAAGCAAGACTAGAAAGGATCAAGCTGTTTCTAAGTAACTAAATTATACCTCAGAGCAGAAGTCAAGATTTATGGAGTTTGAAATTCATCACTGAAAAAAAAAGATGTATAGAGATATAAAAATATACAGCACCCAACAAAGGTAAAATTCACAATGTCTGGCATTCAAAGTTTACTGGGCACGCCAAGAAGAAAGAAAACACAAACCATAGTGAGAAGGCTAATTTATCTGTATGTTTAAAGCTAGGGAGAGACATGGAAGACATAAAAAGAGATGAAAAGTACGATGTCTGAAATGAAAAATATTCTGACTAAACATGGCAGAAGAAAACTTTAGTAAGTTTGAAAACATAGCAGATAGTAACTATCCAAAACAGAACACATAGAGAAAAAATAAGAATAAAAAATTAAGAAAAGTGTTAGAAAAAGAGTTGATTGAAATAGTCCAAATCTGACATAAACTATAAACTCACAGATCCCAGAAGTTTAACAAACCACAGTGCAAGGAACAGGAAGAAAATTAGCTATCATGATCAAATTGCTGAAAACCAATGCCAAGGAGAAAAATAGAGTAAAAAAGACATGCTAAGTACAGGGGAACAAATATAAAGATGACAGCAGATTTCTTGTCAGACACAGTATAAAAGAGAAGATGGAGGAGCAACATCCTTTAAGGTACTGAAAGAATCTTTCACCCAAAATTCTATACCCAGTTAAAATGTCTTTCAGAAACAAAAGTAAAATAAAGATGTTTTCAAAGCCAGGTGTGGTGGTGCATGCCTGTAATACCAGTACTCAGGAAGCTGAGCCAGGAGGATTGCTGCAAGTTTGAGGCTAGCCTGGGCTACATAGTGAGTTTAAGGCCAGCATGGAATGCATAGAAAGACCTTGTATCAGAAAACTAAGTAAGTAAATAAATAAATTTTTTCAGACATACAAAAGCTAAAACAATAGATCTGCACTAACAGAAATGATAAAAGAAATTCTTAGGCAGAAAGATGAAACCAGATGAAAATCTGTACCCACACAAGGGAATGAAGGTCACCAGAAATATTAACTAAATGAATAAATATAAGGTTTTTCCTTGCTATTTTCCTACATAAGATGTGTTTAAAAATAATTTACCATCTAAAGAAAAATTGTGGAATTTGTAATGTAATGTATTCCTTGACTTACAATGGTTCAACTTAGGATTTTTCAACTTTACATAATGGTGTGAAAGCAATATGCATCAGTAGACATTGTATTTTGAATTTTGATCTTTTCTTGGGCTATCTTGTGCAGTGCGATACTCTCTTGTGATGGGGTCAGCAGCAGTGGGCAACAGTTCCAAGTGAGCCATGAAATCACAAGGATAAACAGCTCATGCCGGACTACACTATTTTGCAGGTTACATATATTACAAATGGCCAATAAGCACATGAAAAATGTTCACATCTCTGGCCATTAGAGAAATACAAATTAAAACATTGAGATTCCATTTTACTCCAGAAAGAATGGCTATTATCAAGAAATCAAATAATAACAAATGCTGGTGAGAATGTGGGAGGAAAGGAATCCTTATTGGCAGGAATATAAACTAGTACAACCATTATGGAAATCAGTATGCAGATTCCTGAAAAACTAACACTAGAAATTCCATTTGACCCACATATTCTCCTTCTAGGTATCTTCCCAAAAGAGTTAAAGACACCCTATTACAGTGATCCATGCATACCCATGTTTATAGCAGCACAATTCACAATAGCCAAATCTTGGAAGCAGCCTATATGTCCATCAACAGATGAATGGATAGGGCTGGGGATTTAGCTCAGTGGTTCTGCTGCCTGCCTTGAAAGCACAAGGTCCTGAGTTCAATCACTGGTACCAAAAAAAAACCTTCAACAGATGAATGGATAAAGAAAATGTGTTATTTACACACAATGAAGTACTTCTCTCCCATAAAGAAAGATAAACTTGAGTCAATGGTCGGATCATAATATTAAATGAAATATGTCAGGCACACACTCTTAAATATTGTATAGTTTCTCTTACATGAAAAATCCAAAGTATAAACAAATTGAAGAGCAAAATAAAAGATAGATAATAGGAAACAGGGAGATAGATCTTTTCCAAATGGGGAGGGAACCAAGAGATGGAGGGAGAAGGGAAGGAGAGGTAGGGGAAGGAGAGGTAGGGGAAGGAGAGGTAGGGGAAGGAGAGGTAGGGGAATGGACATAAGAAGAATGCAGATGTTTACGTACATGTACCAATTCCCCCTGATGAATGTAATCATTATGTGCCACAAATGTGTACTAATAAAATAAAAACTAAAAAGTAAATAAATGAATTTTCAATTTAATGATATTTTTAGCTTACAATGGGCCTGTCAGAGTGTCTCATCATAAGTCAAGAAGCATCTGTTTGCATAACTAAAATGCCTGACATGAATAACATAAAGCCCAGGGAAAAAAAATTAAAACGTACTTTTGTAAAGTTCTTATACTACACATGAAGTGGTATAACATCACTTGAAGATACACTGTGATAAGTTAGAGATACATATTACAAAGCCTAAGACAACCATTAAAATAACAGAACATTAGAGCTAATAAATCAATAAGGGTGGTAAAATGGAATAATAAAAATACCCAATTAATATAAAAGAAGGCAGAGAAAGAAGAAAAAGAACAGATGGGACAAGTAGAAAACAAACAGCAAGATGATAAACTCAAATCTAACTGCATCAATAATAATATTAAACATAAACAGTCTAAACATTCCCAATGAGAAAGCAGAAATTGTCAGATTGAATTAAGGGAAAGAGACATGACTCATAGATGCCCCACCATAAAAAAAAAAATTTAGAAGCACACTGTGAACACACCAGTTAAAAGTAGAAGGATGAGAAGAGATACATCATATTTAATACTAATCAAAAGAACACGAGAGTGGCTAGTTTAATATCAGACAAAGTTGATTTCATAGCAAATAATATTACCAAGGACAGATAAAGCAATCAATTACTCAAGAATATATAATAATTCTAAATAGGTATAACCCTATAGCAGAGATTAAAAATATAGGAAGCAAAAACTGATGGACCTACAGAAAGAAACAATCCATAGTTATCAATTTAGCTTTGCAACCTCAATAACTACAAGAACAAGTGGAAAAAATTTAACCAGGACCTTTTTAGTGAGTCTTGCCTTGACTATCTATTTTAACTGTACTCTCCTCTTCCCTACATCCTTCCTGTGCAATCTTCTAACATAATATTTATTTACTTACTTTAATTTATATGTTTGTATGATGCCTGGAACACTGTCCAGCACTTAGAAGATTCTCAAAAAATACTTGTTGAATGAAAATATGATTGAAAGACTGTTAGTTGCTACTATTATGATATATTATGTGACTCTTCGTATTCTCTTTCCCCACTGTTGTTTGAATGTGTGGACCCCCCACAAAACCAATATCCAAGCCTCAGAGTTCTAGAATATAAATCATGGAACTTCAGAATGTTTGTGCCAGATGCATAGGATGTTAAAATTCTAGCAAGTCAGGTACTCACAAAGTTGGAATTCTAAGGTGTTTAGAGTCAGATCATCGGGACCAGGAACACAGTTGATGGGGAATCTAAGCCTGGTGTACACAGAGGTAGATGGGAGAGCTTTTTGGTGTCCCACCTGCTGTTCTGTGTGTGCCCTTATTTTAGTATCCAGAAAGAGGTGTCCACCCAGCTAACCCAGCTCAGCAGTGCAAAAGGACAGAGAAACGACTCCCTCCTGGCTTCAGGAGCTTGGGGGCGGGGGTAGAGGAGGGTGATGTGGGGCAAAGAGGCAATATTTCTTCATATTAATTCAGCCCCTGCTCACTGGGCCCCTTCTGGACTACGGGCTCATGCTTCACTGTGGTCACGCAAGACTGGAAGCTGTCATTATCACAGGAAACCACTCTCACCACCACTTCCCTCAGGGATAAGGGGGAGAGGCCACAGTGCTGGAAGCCTGTCCATCATCCCAGGGACCTTGGCCCAAGGCTACAGAGCTGGTGGGGGCTGGAGCTAGGGGGTGGAGAGAGGAGACTACAGAGTCAGAGGGACCCAGGGCTCTAGGCCCAGGAGTGTGGCCTTCAGTGCCTTGGCCATGGAGCACTCTAGAGGGGGTAATCAGTTGTCCTTCAGCTGTACAGCTCTTTTCATCCACTCATCTACTGCATGTCTCGTGTGTTGATTTCTCATCCACCCACCAAACTAGACTGAGTCTAAATGGGAACCCACAGCTTCTCCTTTGCTCATAACTATTCTCAGCACCTAGTGGCATTAGTGTAGACTCCATGCAAAATATGCATTTGATCAGTTTTGCTTTTAGACTGAATGGATGATGCTGCTTCGCGGCCCTGTACATGGGGATGCTTAACACTTGGGGATGTGACACACCTTCTTTGGAAACCAGGGAAGGCTGTGAATCCTCTGCAGCCCAAGGACCACAGAGGAGCCTGCTCTGTCCCTGATAAGCAGGCACCAGCAGCTACCCTACTGGCCCAAGGGCCCCTTCTGCCACCATCAGTTTTTAATTCACTGTGCCATCCAGGGGACACGGTGGACTGACCAAGGGCCGCACCTGGTGAGCCCTCACTGACAACCCAGCTCTGTGCAACATACTCAGCTAGTCACCACCACCACTCCACTCCCAAGGATGGAGTGGTCCCAGCACACCACTCCTTTCAGACCTGGTGCTACCAGTCTCTAAAACAGCCTGGGCCTTGCCCTCCAGTTAGGACCCTGGTTCTGCGCGAATGGAACACAGGCCGCCTTTCTGAGGCCCGGTGAACTGCTGGCAAAACCCCTCAAATTGCACAAAGAGGCATGAGGTGTCAGGCAAATTCCCAGGGACACTCCCTCCCCCACTCCACCCCAGCCCCCAACCCCCAGCCCCCAGCCAATAACCAGAAGGTTCCCACCTGGTGTGCAGAATGGGTGGCAGCGACCCCCTCTTTTCTGGACCCTGCTGGGGAACCCCCCCAATAGTTCAAACTGCTGCTATGCGTCCTCGTGCCTTCTCCTTCTTCATTATTACTGCCCCGCTTAATTGGGCGGCCCCGCGTGTGTGTGCGTGTGTGCGGTGTGTCTCCTGGGTGAGAGGGCGAGGGGGTTACTTCTGACACATGGGGCGGCCGGGGCGGGGGGGGGGGGGGGGGCGGTGCTGGCTCCCTGCCCGAGAGCGGGACCCTCCCCCAGCCCCGGCCGCTGGGGATCGCGCGGTGCAGACAGATGGGCCGAGCCCAGGGGCGGGGGCGCGCTGACGGGGTGCGAGACGGCGGCGCGGCCCGCTCGGGTGCTGACAAAGGCGGGCGGTGCGGGCGCCTTATCTGCGCGAGCAGACCGGGCGGCCGGCCGGGCCTGCGGCCCGCGCAGCGCTCACAAAGGCCGGCCGGGGGCGCGGGCACGAAGATTAATTGCCCAATCAAGTTGTCGGCGCGGGCGGGGGGCGGGGGCGGAGCCCCGGCCCCGGGGGACGCAGGGCGGCGCATAATGAAGTGTGCAAAAAGTTAATTTGCTCTGCGACTCGCTGCTTTCCACAATCAAAGGCGGGCGGCGAGGATGGGGGGGCGGCGAGGAAGGGCCCCCTCTCCCTACCCCAGCTTGTGATCCCGAGGCTAGGCGTGGTGTGGGGACACGGAACTTCCCAGAGGGGAGGCCAAGGTCTCCAGACTAGCGCTCTAACCCTTGTGCGCTGTGCCTGCTGTGCGCCTCCAGCAGCGCTCATTCCTCTCCGGGGCCGCGGTCCTCTGCTGGATGCAGAGTGGCCGACAGTTCTGGAGCGCTCACTGCTCCAAGTGGCCAGTCCCTTCGCTGGCGCGGTCTCCCTCCCCCTGCAAACCCTGGGGCCTTAGAGGCGTCTTGGAGGAAGAGAAAACCCAGGCCCTAGGTGCTTATAAATCACTCGAAGGCCCCAGGGCTCTTCCTTTGCTGCCCAGATAGCAGATGGAAAATAGGTAGAGGGGTAAGTCTCAAGACGAACTACACAGGACAACTGGGAAGATGGTGGTATTCACACTATTGTATAAGAAGGAGCCCCCGGACCCATATCATAGTGTTTGGACAGGGTAGGTTTCTCTGGCATGTATTGGGAAGAGTGGACAGGTTACAGGTGGGAAACGAGAGCCTGGATTGTCTTGCACCACAATCCAGTCAGCTGAAGAGGAGGTGTTTATCTCCATGTCTCGCTAGTTCCAGAGAGGACACAGGTTTCTAAACTCAGCTGATCCACCCTGAGACAAAGAAGAGGAAGTGGGAGGGTCTTCTCTGGCCTCTCAGGAGGTTCTTGCAAAAGAGGAAAGGTCACAGGAAAAGGGAAATCATCCCCCAGTCACCAAAGAGTGGACGGCAAGTCTGACTTAAGTCACATGGGGAAAGGTCGTTCAGTTTGTTCAGCCATTTCTCTGAACAGAAAAGAGTAGGGGGAGCTCAGAAAACAAAAGGCTGGGGGTGTTTCTTACCCATTGCTATTTTCCAGGAGAATAGGGGCTCAGATGGAGGCTCACACTGTCCCAGGCTGGCTGATGGTACAGGGAGAAACCCTGTAGCTGTCACAGTAGCTCTACTGACCAGCTTCAAGCCATCGCTTGGTGAAGAACTATCTGGACAAATCATTTAACCTCTCCTCTGCAACACCTTAAGGATATCAGCAAGAACAAAGTGGAGGACATGGGATGTGGGAGGTGCTCTATGAAGGAGCTGCTGTTTTCTCAGAAAGGAGTGGGACCAGGATTGGAATTCAAGCTGTGGTCTCAGGACCACAGCCCCACCCACCTACCTGCTCAACACCAGCCCCTTGACACATCCAGAACTTGGCGCCCAAGTACTGGGTCCCCTGAAAGAAAAGGAGCAAGCCTGCCTTTCCCAGGGGCTTGCACCACTCCAAACAGACAATGGGGCACAAGTTGGGTGACCATGGCAGCTCTGAGGAGGTTCCAAGGCCCCCTCTTTGAGATGTAGTATCCAGGCCAGACTGGCCAGCTCACCTTCTGCCTCTGACCAGTGGGTCCTAAGTCCTGGCTCCCTGACTCATTTCCCAGGCCTAGCCCTGGGCTGCAGCTGGGCCAGGAGACTGGTGAGGGAGCCCTTGGGGGTGTTAGGAGCCAGGCTTTCAGGGGAGAAGGGGAAGGGTTACAGCCAAACCAAGATTTATGGGCCTGATCATAATAATGAAAGAAAAAAGAAAAAAAGGACGCGTGTTCGGCAATGCCCAGGGACCAAGACTACTTCCCTATTACCGAAAATGTCCTCGCTCTCGACTCTGCAAATTAGCATAAAACATGCTGTTTTGCATCCATTTGCATCTCATTTGCATGCTAATAACTTGACGCCACAATGCACCCAGTCCCCTAAGAGGTTTCTGGTCTTACATTTTTTTCTGCCAGCCCCTGCCCCTTGTCTTTTCCAGAGAAAACCAGGAGATCTAGGTTCTAGGCTAGGCTGGGCCACTCTCTCTAGGCTGCTCTCTGCTCCTCTCTTTATTTCAGTTTCCCTGACTGTAATCCAAAGGAGACAAACTGTGTGCAGTTTTCCAGATTATGCTCCATTAGCCCTCTTCGGGGCTGCAGGCAGAGACAGGAGCAGGTGGGGCAGGCACACCCCATCCCCTCTGAACAGCTGGGGCTGCAAGCAAAATTCTCTTGAGCTTCTCTATTAAAAACAAAGACCAAAAAGTTTGCAAACAAATGGACTGTTTTCTCCACCAAGTCTTCCCAGTGCAGTGTTCTCTAAAGACTTTGATAGTAGCAATCTGCACTCAGATGTGTAGCCCAAACAACCCTTGAAATAAGTACTAGTATCAAACTTAAATGGGTAAACTGAGTCACTGGAAAGTCAAGTAACTTAACTAAGTTCACATAGCTGCCACGTGATCAAGTTTCAAACCCAAGCAGTCTGGCACTGGTGTCTACACCACAAGTTTACCCAGGTCAACCTTTCCATTGTACAGATGAGGAAACAGAGGATCAGTGCGGGGAGAAAATTTTTCCACAGAGCAGCTGAACTGATTAGGCTCTTTGCCCCAGGGAAAGATGGTTGGAGAAGTAAGGCCTCACGTTACAAAGATGGTTTAATGAGCTGGGGGGTGGGGGGGCTTCTTTGCTTTTTTTGCTTCTTTGCCAGCCATAGCAAGGGTCTGCAGCCTCCTGCTCAGCCAACCTTGCCCCAGCTGGTAGATTTCAGGGAACAGGCCCCTGAGCCAGGCAGGACGAGCCCCTAAATCAGAGCAGCCAGCAGGCTGAAGAGCACCAGGTGTGCCAGCCACAGCCAACATACAATGCCATCCACCCGGCTATGCAGGTGGAGGCGCCTCAAGGGGGGCCTTGGGAAGGGGGGCAGGGAGCTCTATTTCTGCATGCAAAGCCCCTGCTGGCCAGCAGGTGCTGGGCCCACCCCTGGGGGCCTGGCTGGGAAACTCCCAGATGCAGAGATAACTAGGCCCCCTGAGGGGTGCCCTGTGGGGGCCAACCATTCCTCCCTCTATTCAGTGCCTCTCCACCCCCCTTCCTCCTGCCAACCCCCCCCCAACTGGCCCCTTTTACCCTGCTCAGCCACCTTGGCCTTCTTGTGTTTCCCAGGCTTTAAGCTCAGTCCCATCTCTGTGCCTTGGCACCTGCAGTTCTTCCACCTGGAAGGCCCTTCTTGACCCTGGAGCACCCATCTTTTGGGTCTCAGCTCAGGCCTGACCACCCCAGCCAAGAGAACCTTCTGCCACCCTCCTAGGTGCTCCTGGGCACACTGACCTTGTCTTTTGCTCCATCACTAACATGGCCTCAACCTCTGCTCATTTCTGGGTCACCTTTCGCCCCACAATCCTCTCCCTGCAGGGGAACCAGGACCATGTCCATCTTAGAACAAAATAGTTCTCAATAACTGTTTGTTGAAGGAAAGAAATAGAGAAGATAGTAGCTGTAGATGCTTTATTTGGTGTCAGCCTCCCCCATCCCACCCTGCCCTAGAATTACCAGTTTCAGGACAAAGGGAGAAATGAATATTTGATATGTTTGCTACTATGCTTTCAGACCTAGCAATAGTAAGTGCTCAATAAATATTTGTTGCATGAAAAAGCAAAGCTGGCAAGAGCTCTGAGTCAGGATCGAGGTCTGAGTCCCTCCAGCATTGCCGGCCAATGACCCAATGCAGGATCTTGAGGGCAAATACCTTCCCCTCTGGGGCTTTTATTTTCTTCTCTGAAAGCTAGACTTGGGCACCTCTGCCACCTTGACCAGGACCATGGAGGGTCAAGTATGGCCCATCTCACTCATTCCCAGGGGAGGTGGATGGTACCGCTACCAGGAGGCGAAGGGGCAGGCAAACCTGGCTATGCAACCTTGGGGGAACCTTTCCCTCTCTTCCCACCATCTCATTTGCAAAAGGGACACTGTAGCTGTGAGGACTACATAACTTGATGGTAGGAACGGTGCAGTGCAGAGTGTAAAATGACCTTTCTGTGGCATCAGCAAGACGGTGCAGTAGGGCCTCCATGGCATGGCCGACCCAGCCAGTGCTCTGCTTCTTTGTCTGTAAAAAGAGTTCTCACTGGATGTACACCAGTAGCTCCAACTACTCTGGAGGCTGAAGCAGGAGGATCATAAGTTCAAGACCAACCTGGGCAATTGAAAAAGACCCTATCTCAAAATTTTAAAAAAAGAAAGTGACTGCAGTCAATTAAGCCAACTGGGTTCCTCTGCTGGTGAGTGCCCAGTGTGCAATGGCTGCAAATAGCAACCTCTTCCGTAGTGTACACAGCCTGCTGCTTGTATGGGCTGCCCTAAGAGACCTTGGAGACACTGCTTCCTGGTGGATGTTTGTGTATTTGACCTCCTGCCATCCCCAGTCCAGGCTCCAGACAGGCATGCTGCAGGGTGCCTTTAGGAAGCCCCAGGGCACATTGGTGAGGGCTCACATTGGACAAGTCATCATGTCCATCCACTGCAGAACAAGGAACATGTGATTGAGGCCCTATGCAGAACCAAGTTCTAGCTGCCAGAAGATCCACATCTCCAAGAAGTGGGGCTTCACCAAGTTCAATACAGACAAATTTGAAGACTTGGTGGCCAAGAAGCACCTCATTCCTGATAGCTGCAGGGTGAAATACATCCCACATCAAGGTCCCCTGGACAAGTGGTGGGCTTTGCACTCCTCAAGGATTCCACTATGCTGCCCCCCCATAACAAATTCATCAATAAATCTTATCTCTGCCCCTCCTCAAAAAAAGGAAGGGGAAGTTGAGGATGTAGCTCAGTGATAGAGCACATGCTTAGCATGTAGAGGCCCTGTGTTCGATTCCCAGCACTAAAGAAAGAAGGAAAAGAAAGAAAAGGAGTCCTGAGGGGTATTGTAAGGATTAAAGTGAGAAAATTTTGCAGAGGACTTGGCACATAAGAGGCACTTTATTAAATGCCTCTGTGGCTGTTCAAGTCTAATTGAAATAAGCAGAGGACAAAGAGAGACACAAGGTGAAGATGGAGGTCAGCATGGCTCTAGTGTTGTT